GATTCTGAAGTATTTTGGACTACTTTCAGAAGAAGGTTCAACTCTGTGGCTGAGAATCTTCAAGCTGCTTGTTCTGCAGATGCTCAAGAGAATTTTTCTGAAGCTGTAAAACTTGCTCTTCTGGGTGTAAGCATAACTACTACTCAGTTTCTGGAAAACACACCTGCAAAGGTTGTGAGTTCAGCATCTGAAGAAACTCCTGCACTTCAGATTAGTATAATTCCTCAGCTTGAAGAAACTTTCATAGAAGCTTCTATTTCTGAAGAGACTCCTGCTTCTGATGAGCCTTCTGATATGGATTTAGACCTAACATCTGCTTCAGTGGTCATTCCAGAATCAACTGCTTTGAAGACAGAATCTGAAGAAGTTAAGGTTTCTGAAGACGTAAAGGAAAAGCTTGCTCAGCAAGAGGCTGCAACTTCTGAGATTAAAACCTAGATAGTTAAGCAAGAAAAGACAACAAAAGAGATCAAGACTTGGATGGACAAGCAAGATGAATCTACTTCTGAGATAAACACTTGGATGGCAAAGTAGGAAGCACAAACTTCTGAGATAACTGAGCTTCTGAAGATTATAGCCTCTCGTCCTTCTTAGTTGTTTTTCTTGTCTGTGCACATCTATTTTTTTTTACTTTTTTCTGTTATCTTCCGAATGAATACATCTGATTGCTTTTCTTCTGATTATCTGATTATCTGCTTATATGTTATACTTGTTTTCTTGCTCTGATAATTTTTGTCTTAAATGATTTTTTCAAATCACTTTTTGATATGACAAAAAGGGGGAGAAAATGGAAATTTTGATTATTCATATAAACAAATACAAAATGGTAATTCATACATGATAAAATATAACTAATGTTGAATTAAGTGTTTCAGAGCTAAAAACTTCTCATCTTATAATATCCTTAGAAGTAACTCTGAACAAACTCTGAGAAAGTCTACAAAGCTAACTCTGACTCTGGAAAGAATAATAAGGCTGAAAGGGAAGTATTAATTTTTTTAAGTATTCATTTCAGGGTGAGATTCATTATCTCAGGGGGAGATATTTTCTTCTTCTTGTTTTTTAACATAATTTCATATAGTTTTTGTCATCATCAAAAAGGGGGAGATTGTTAGAACACAGATTGGTTCTTAATATATCTCAATGTTTTGATGATAACATTAATGAAATTTTGTATAAGAAAATATATACTCTAATTTTGTTCAAGTGTTTTTGTTTCAGATATCAAATAAATATTCATCTGAAGACTAAGAATTCCTCTGAACATGATTTAAAGCAAAGCTCTGAACAATATAATGCTAAGCTCTGAGCGTAGGAAGTGCAACTGCAGAAGACTCCGAAATATTGCAAATGACTCTGAAGCGTAGCACAGAAGACTCTGAGGCGCTTGGTGAAGAAAACTCTGAAGCGCTTGCTGAATGATTCTGAAGCAGAAGACTCTGAAAGCACTACCTACAGAAGACTCTGAGTGCAGAGTATAAAGACTCAGAATATTCAGAAGACTCTAATAACTAAACGCTGTAAGTACAGAGGCTCTGAATCAAGTCAACTCCGATCATAATTCACGCTAAGCACTTTGCTGCAAGACTCTGAAAGAGTGACTCTGATAAGAAGAACAAGGAACAACATCAGAGGATCTGATGCAAGATTATTTTCATATATGTTCATTTAAAAAAGGAAGTGTTCAAGAAAGAGATGTTGCTAAACCCAAGGTCTACTAACGGTACTATTTCTCATTCGTGCATGACACAGGATTTCAGGCAAAAAGGGAATGTTAAATCAAGACGAAAAGTATTTGTCCTTCCTGTCTACATGCTACAATACTTTCTTCTACACACTATTGAGAAAGTGGTGTATATAAAGAAGTCTTCATCAACACTTCAAGTACAAGAATTCACAACAATTTGCTACATCATTTTTGAAAGAAAGAATTCAAAGAAGCAATCAAAGAAAACATTCAAACAACTTTCTACATAAAACATTAAGTTTTATTTGTTCTTCATTTTGTGTAAATCACAATTGTGATAATAGCTTTTTAGAAGCACCTTAAACACATTTGTATCTTACTCTTGTAAAAGTTCCTTGAGAGACCAAGTTGTGGTCAGAATTCTTGAGAAGACTAAGACAATTGTCTTACTGGAAATCACTATAGTCAAGTTTTGATTTAGTGGATTAAGTCCTCATTTGAGAGAGGCGAAATCACCTTGGCCGGGTGGACTTGAGTAGTTTGAGTTCAAACGAACCAGGATAAAAATAACTTGTTATTTTCTATTATCATAATTGTTTTTGAAAACCCCTTATTCAACCCCCCCCCCCCCCCTTCTAAGTGTTTTCCTACCTTCACTGTTCTCCCACAAACTCTTTAAGTCTTCAATTAAAGGTGTCAAGTATACGTCTATGTCATTCCCTGGTTGTTTAGGATCAAAAATTAACATATATAACGTCATGTACTTACGCTTCATACATAGCCATGGAGGTAGCTTATAAATCATAATAATCACAGACCATGTGGAATGTGAAACTTTTATCCGACCATCCATTGCCCGCCTTTAAGTTGTACAACTTTAATACTGCATACAATCTTGTGAAAGTAGTGCAACTTTTATACAAAGGTTTCTCTCATCGCTTATCAACCTCTCAAACATTTTGGGACAATCCTGAAGATCTTCTTCAAATGCTTCTGCAATCTCTTCGACTCGATCATAGTCATATGTATTTGTGCCATTGTCGTTTGAAGCATATGTCATATTATCCCCCGGTTCAACATTCTCGTTACTTATCTCACCATGTAATATCCAACATGTATAACTTCGACCAACTCCATGCCTCTTTAAATGCGATTCCAGCTTAACTGCGTCAATCCAACGCCCATAACAACAACCTAAGCAAGGACATGTGATCCTACTGGGGTCTTTGGCATGTTTAACAACAAACTTAACGAATTTTGATAGCCCATCTCGTACTCTTTTGACAATCGATTGAAATACATCTATTTTTTATCCATACTAATTAAGTAGGCTAAACTAAACTAAGTAAGCTAAACAAAAATAGTGATTACCTGTAGCAACTGTAGAGAAGTCAACAACTTCTAGAACTACACAGTAAGATTCTTGGAAACGATCACAATCTTACTCTTCATAAGTAACCCCTATAACAAATTCACTAAGTTAGTAGCTGATGGTGTACCTAATATAACAACTTCATCACTTAAGTTCAAACATTTAATCAACAACATCACAATATTCAACAATTAATTCGCGAATATTCAAACATCAACAATTAATTCAATCAACAACATCAACAATATTCAACAATTAATTCATGTTTCCATCAACAACATCATTAACATATATACAAAATTAACATACAAAATTAATTCATATTTTCATCAACAACATCAACATCAACATCAACATTAACAACATCAACAACAACATTCTCGTTACTTAATTCAAGTTTCCATCAACAACAACATTAACATATATACAAAATTAACATACAAAATTAATTCATGTTTTCATTAACATCACAATATTCAACATTAACATTAACATCAACAACAATCAACATTAACATCAACATTTAACATCAACATCAACATTAACATCAACAACATCAATATTAACATTAACATACCTTATAACATTTAACATCAACAACATCAACATTATCTTCACTATTTCCACAACAACAAAAACTCATCAAACCATAATCATGAAAACGAAGAAAATACATAAATACCTTGAAAATGGTGGAAGTGGTCGGACAGAGGGAGAATGAGAAACCACCAGCGGTGGGAGTACGACGGAGGGAGAATGAGAAGTGGTCGGATAGAAGGAGAATGAGAAGTGGTCGGACAAACGAAAGGATCGGAGTACGACGGAGGGAGTATGGTTTTATACTTGAGAGAGGGAAAGAATGATACGCGAGAGAGAAAGAAAAAATGAGTTTGAAATGAAAATTTTATTTATTTTTAGAAAAAAAAAATACCTATAGCAGCGCTTTTGAAACCCCCCTATAGCAGCGCTTTCTCCTAAAAAGCGCTTTCGTATCCCCCCCTTAGCAGCACTTTAGGAAAACACTCTCTAAGGTCTGCCTTAGGCAGGACCTATAGCAGCGCTTTAGGAAAGCGCTTTCGTATCCCCCCTATTTAACAGCGCTTTCTTAAAAGCATTTTCTATTGTATTGCATAACAACGACCTTTAGCATCGCTTTTTAAAAGCGCTTTCTAAAGCCATGTTATAGTAGCGCTTTTTTCCTTTGTTTTTTTTTTAAGTTTTAGCAGCGTTTTTATAGAAAGTGTTGTCTTTGTCGTGCTGCCAAAAATCATTTTTGACGTAGTGTTAAATATTAATTCCTTTCTCCAATCAAATTAAGATATTCAATACTACATCATTTTTAATATTATTTTATTTTTAAAAAAAATATTTAAAGTCACTTAACACATAATATCGATATCCAATTAAATCCAAAGGATACGCTATAAACCATGAAGAACTAAGCTAATATTTATCAACAAACTTCATATGATTACCAATAAACTCACAAAAATTAAGAATTATTATATACTATCCCTTCTTTTTTTCCTTTTTTTTTATAAGCAACTATCCCTTCTGGTTTTTATTAAGGTGGCAATTGTATTTGAATACACATACATTATAGTATTCTATCAGATTGAGACACCCCAACTGATCTATATATTAATCAATCATTGAATTATATATGAAATAGATATTCACCTCCATATTTAACTTATACGTACATTATTTCTCCACCTCATACACATGTATATACATACACATGCTATGCATATAAAGTCAAAGGAAACAAAGAGTTTAAGTCTAAAGTAATTTTCATACTCTTCAATCACTTCTTTCTTAAATCATATGTCACTCTCTCTCACTCTCTCTCTTTGTCCATCTCTATATATAAACAAATGACAAAGTAATTTATTTCTTGAATTAAGACCAAGCTAGCATCATTGTAAGGTGAACCAGAAAATGGGAGTACAAGGTACTTTGGAATACTTGTCTGATTTACTCAGTAGCACCACAAAGAAGAAGAAAAAGAAGCAAACACAAACTGTATCTCTTAAAATCAGAATGGATTGTGATGGATGTGTTCGTAAAGTTAAACATGTCCTTTCTGGTGTTAAAGGTAATTTCTTCTATATAATTCCTTCAATCCAGTCGCGGTCGCAGATGCAGTTGCAGTTGCAGACCACAATTTAGAATGGCCGTTGTCTTTTTTTATTGGTAATTGATTAATTTGAAATTTGAACAGGAGTTAAGAAAGTGGATGTGGATATGAAGCAGCAGAAAGTAACAGTGAGTGGATATGTTGAGCCAAAGAAAGTGTTGAAAGCTGCACAATCAACAAAGAAGAAGGTTGAACTTTGGCCTTATGTTCCATACACTATGGTGGCTCATCCTTATGTTTCTCAAGCTTATGATAAAAAGGCTCCTCCAAATATGGTTAGAAAAGTTGGTGACACTTCCAACACAAAAGAGACCACCTTTGATGATAGCTATGTTGAAATGTTCAGTGATGAAAATCCAAATGCATGTTCTATTATGTAACTATATATTCTTAATATTAAAATATGTGTGTGATTAGGCTTTGAGTGTAGAAATTAGTTAATGTGTTTGAAAGGTAGTTATTATTATCTAATACTAGATAATAAAATATTTTTGCATGGGGTTGTGCTGTCATTATGTAAATCTTAATTATTGTTGGGGTAGTTGGAAGTGTATAGGGAATTAGTGTTGTTTATGCATAATTTATACTATTTAACTTTTATCCTTTGTGGGTGGCTATGTGTACGTTTCGTGTTTGGCAGGACATTGTTCTGTCTCTGTCTCCATCTTTGAAATTGGACGTTTACAATCATTCCTGAAATGAATTTGGCAAGGTTTGGTTTTGATGTTAAGAACTCGTGAGCTCTAAATGGGACGTCTCTCAACTTTATAGATAACCTATAAAAACAATATACAGATTTTTTTTTTTTTTTTAAATATCACACATATATAAAATGATGACAGTTAATTGTGTTATTTAGAAGTCAAAATTATTTTTAAAAAAAGGGTTTTGTTGGTTCAACGAGATAAAGTAGCGGAGAGGGAAAATAAGAAGATAAATGTAAACGTAAAGAGGTAATATTAAAAATTGCAAAAGAGATGGGTATACTATACTCACTAACCTTTTATAACAATTAGAGATTTTACATAGGCTGGTTCTCAAACCAAATATAGTTTTTAACAGATTGAACTCACAAAACAAATAGAAATTTTACTCGGTTGATCTCAAGAACTAAATAGAGATTTTAACAGATTAATCTCAAAAACCAAACAAAAGTATTGCACAAGAGAATCGCGCCCTTGAATAAGAACAAATACAACACCCTACAAGTACAATCAAACTCGGATATTTTTTACTCTCTTGACACTAAATCAACTTTAGTGAAGAAAAAAAAAAGAGAAGAAAAAAGTAAAATATAGTATAGTATAACTTCAATTTCAAAATCTAGTGGAAAGAAGAAATAAAAAGAAAACCTCTTTTTATAAAAAAAATTGCCTCAAAAAGGAAAAAATCCATGAGCTAGTTTAATAATTTAATCGATTAACTCTAACTGTTAATCAATTAGATCACTTAAATTAGGAAGGTTTTTGAAATCCGTCATGACTAATCGATTAGAGACCTTCTTGTGCGATTGAGAAGCATTACAAAAGAGTTAATCGATTAATCCTAATGTGTTAATTAAGTACTAGTGTAAAAATCACTCCTAATTGTTTAACATGTCAGTAATTACTTAGGTAGGTGAATGAAAATATTTTCAGGTATTTTTAACAAAAATTAGAGAGGCTTCAAATCAATTTTATAAGTGTGTGAGCTGCCTTGGTATCTCGAGAGTTAATCTCATACATTTACATTAGACTTGCCACTCAGACAGAAGACTAGGTGAGTTTTCACGCTTCATCTCTTTTACATCCTTGAAGCTACAAGATCCCTTGCTTGAATCATCGTTGATTTAAAATTCATTAGAGACTTGAATCTTCTAACTAATTAGACTTGATATAGCTTCTTTGATATCCACTGTCATCAGAGGTTGTTGGACCAAATATCATTAAGGACTTCACCCAATGTTGTTTGACATTATGTGTTGTTATCATCAAAACCACCAAGATTATCAGACAGCTGTAGAATGTTCTACTTGTAAGCACATAGATCCACAGTCCTCCCATTTTTTATGCTGACTAGCGTCCAGACGGGCACTCGCGTGCCCGTCTGTCCGCTTTTTTAATGCGCATGATTGAAAATATGAATGATATTTTTTGTTTAAATAATTTTTTTAAAAAAATACAATATGTAGAAGTTAATAATAAGAAGTTATGTGGAAGTTAATAATAAGAAGTTATTAAGTAAATTATATAATAAAGCAAGGGTAAAAATGGTAGAAAAATAAGCCATACCAAAACAAAGTATTCCCTTTATATATTGTTATAGATAACACATCTCTTAGGAAGGTGGTAAAAAACATAGGTAAGAGATTTAAGTGGTTAAACTCCCCCTCACAAATACAGAGATTATACTCTAATTTCCTTGATAATATACTTTTTTCTCTTTGTCATAATAAAAAAGACGGGAAACAAGAAAAAAAAGCACATATATCATGTATAACATATAAAGAAATGGAAGAAAAAGAAAAAGAAAAAGCATCTAATATATTTCAATTCATGCATGATTGATTAAATATTCCTAATTTAGCTCTTATGAAAAAGAAATTTTCCTGAAGAAGAGGTTTAGTAAAAATATTTTCTAGTTGATTAGATGAAGAAACATTCTCAGTTACACAATTCTCATTTTCAACATGATCCCTAATGAAATGGTTGATAACCTCATTGTTCTTAGTCCGAGAGTGAAGTACTAAATATTTCATGAGGTTTATTGCGCTAATGTTATTGCATTTTATTGGAATTGTCTGAGATCAACTTTGTAAACACTTAGACAATGTTTCATCTGAAGTTTCTCTGTCCCTTAAGTGTTTCAGTTTTTTTCTTGTCTCGTTTTCTATTTATCGCTTATATACATTGTAAAAGCATAAGGGCTTTATCAGAAAGTATATGGTTAATCTCTCTCTCACACACACACACACATGATTTTCTTCATGAAGCATAGAGTAGCAAGTGCATCAGCCATGTTGTTTTCTTCACGAGGAATCTGATGAAAATCAATTCTATCGAAGAAAGGTAACAATCTTCTTATGTAGTCTTTGTAAGGAATTAAACCAGGTTGACGTGTGTCCCATTGTCCTTTGATCTGATTTATAACCAAAGCAGAGTCTCCATACACATCCAGATTCTTTATCCTTAATTCAATGGCTTCTTCATGACCCATGATGCAAGCTTCATACTTGGCCTCATTATTTGTACATTTGAATGTCAGCTTGGCGGTGAAAGGAATATGGGTACCCTGAGGTGTAACAATGATTGCCCCAATTCCGTTTCCATAGGCATTAACAGCTCCGTCGAATATTAGTCCCCATCAAGATCTTTGCTCTGACCCTTCGTCTGGTAACGGTTCATCACAATCTTTCATCTTTAGGTACATCACATCCTCGTCCAAGAAGTCAAATCTGATTGATTCATGGTTATCAATTGGTTGGTGAGCCAGGTGATCATCAAGAATACTTCCTTTGACGGCTTTCTGAGCATGATACTCTATGTCGTATTCTGATAAAAACATCTGCCAACAGGAAATTCTTCCGTTTAAAGTAGGTTATTCAAAGACATACTTGATCGGATTCATTTCGAAGATTAACCAAGTGGTATGACAAATCATATACTGGCGAAGACGTTTAGCATCCCAAGCTAAAGCGCAACAGGTTTTTTCGAGCATAGAGTATCGAGTCTCGCAGTCCGTGAGTTTCTTACTCAGGTAGTAAACGACATACTTTTCTCTTCTTACTTCATCTTGCTGGCCAAGTACACAGCCCATAGAATCTTCTAAGACCGTTTATATAATCAGGGGTCTTCCTTCCACTAGAGGAGATAAAATAGGCGGATTAAGCAGATATTCCTTGATACTTTCAAAACCCTTCTGGAAATCTTCCATCCATATATAGCCTTGATCCTTTCGGAGGAGCTTGAAAATTAGTGTGCATGTCGTTGTCATGAGAAATATGAATCTTGAGATGTAATTTAGGCGTCCATAAAAATCCTCTTACTTGCTTTTTTATTCTGGGTGAAGGCATTTCTTGAATAACCTTGACTTTATCGGGATCAACTTCAATTCCTTTCTGGCTGACGATGAATCCTAAAAGCTTTACTGAGTGAACACCAAATGTACATTTGTTGGGATTCAAGCGGAGTTTGTATTTTCTCATACGCTTGAATAGTTTTGACAAATCTTCCACATGTTCTTCTTCTGTTTCAGACTTAGCAATCATGTCATCCACATACACTTCAACTTCTTTGTATATCATGTCATGAAATGAAGTTGCCATTGCCCTTTGATAAGTTGCATCTGCATTCTTTAATTCAAACGACATCAATTTATGGGAAAAGGTTCCCCGGGGTATAATGAATGAAGTTTTCTCCATATCTTTTGGTTCCATTTTGATTTGATTATAACCGTAGAATCCGTCCATGAAAGAGAATACTTTGAATTTTACAGTATTGTCAACCAACATGTCAATATGTGGTAACAGGAAGTCATCTTTTGGAGTAGCTTTGTTTAAATCTCGGTAATCCATACACATTCTGACTTTTCCATCTTTTCTGGAAACATGTACTATGTTGGCTAACCATTGAGGATATTCTGACGTGGCAAGCAAACCTGCATCGATCTGCTTTTGGACTTCTTCTTTGATCTTGATGGCCATATCTGGATGAGTCCTTCTCAACTTTTGTTTGGCTGGAAGACATTCTAGTTTTAACGGCAAATGATGCTCCACAATGTCGGTATCCAACCCTGGCATATCTTGGTAGGAGCAAGCAAACACATATGAAAATTATATGAGAAGTTTTATCGTACTTTCTTTAACAGTTGTACTGAGCAGTGCTCCAATCTTAACTTCTTTACTTTCTTCTTCTGAACCCAAATTGATCATTTCCAACGGCTCTTTGTGGGGTTGAATAGATTTTTCCTCTTGTCTAAGTAGTCGAGAGATCTCATCCAGAATTTATTTGTCCTCTTCTTCTTCAGCTTCGAATATCGGGAACTCAATGTTGGGAGAAGGAATCAGATCATATATTTCAACGGGGTTTTTAACAATTAATCTGCACAATGTGATTGATGATTCTTTTCTAGGAAAGACAGAAAAATGAAAGAAGTGGTGTGCAGTGTATTTTTGAAAACATTCATTACTTTTGTATGTTTTAGGATTACCATTTTCTGAAAAAGCGAAAAAGCAAAAATAGCAAGAAATGTGGGAATTCAGAATGACATCTTTATTTATAATTTTTTGAATCTTGAAACACAAGCCCTATAAAATAAAACTCATATGCCTTGGGCAAGGCAGAGAGGAAATATTTACAGGAGACGATGCCCTATTAAACATCCTTTCACCCGGGCAAGGTGA